AAGAAGTGACATTTTCAGTGTTGTTAGGCATGGTGAAGCTGCTAGTGCTGATAAAGAAGGGGCAGCAAAGTTTTTAGTTGCATTTAAAAAACTGATGGAAGAAGAAAATTATCTTCCACAGCAAGTGTTCAATGTGGACGAAACTGGGCTGTTCTGGAAAAAGATGCCCAAAAGAACATTCATCACCAAAGATGAAGCCTCTTTACCTGGGCATAAACCCATGAAAGACCGTCTCACTCTATTGCTTGGTGCCAATGCTTCAGGGGATTTCTGACTGAAGCCTATGTTTGTCTACCACTCTGAAAACCCCAGGGTGTTCAAGCAACAGAAAGTGGTAAGAACAAAACTTGGAGTTTATTGGAAGTCCAACCGTAAGGCATGGGTGACAAGACAGCTCTTTAATGAATGGGCTGTTGATGTGTTTTGCCCTTCTGTCAAGAGCTACCTAATCACCAATAAACTCCCTTTAAAGGTTCTTCTCCTCATGGATAATGCTCCTGGTCATGACCCTGACCTTGCCAGCAATTTGGAGTATCAATTTGACTTTGTGAAAGTGTTGTTTTTGCCTCCAAACACTACATCATTCATACAGCCAATGGACCAGAATGTGATCAGCAACTTCAAGAAGTTGTACATGAAGAAAATGTTTAGGAGGTGTCATCAGGCAACTCCCAATGATCCTGAACTAACACTGAAACAGTTCTGGAAGACACAATTCAACATCCTGGAGGCTGTAAAATTGATTGTGTCATCATGGCAAGAAGTCTCCACTAGATCCCTCAATTCTTCATGGAAAGCACTGTGGCCATCAGTAGTCCATGATTTTGAGGGATTTGAGGAAGAAACAGAGTTGGACAAGGAGATTGTGTCCATTGGTCAGTCATTGAGCCTTGAAGTGGAGGAGGAGGATGTGGAAGAGCTTGTGATGTCTCATGAGGAGGAACTTACTCCTGATGACTTGAAGCAACTGGATGAGATGTTTCAGGTAGAGGCTGACAGTGGTGAGGAGGAAATTGAAAGTGATGACCATATGTCAGCTAAACAGTTGAAAGATGTGATTTACTACTGGGAGAAGTTCAGGGAACTGGCTTCAAAGCACCCAGAAGTGGAAAAACTGAACTAACTTTGTGTCATGTTGAGGACTCAGTGGTCTCCTTCTTTAAACATAAGTTAATGGTGAGGAGGACAGATGCCCCACAGACCACAATTGACACTTTCTTCAGTAAAAGGCAGAGGGAACAAGATGCTATCCCTCAGCCTTCCACTTCAAGAAGAAGAGAGGATGTTCATGGTGGAGAATCTGTCAGTCCAGAGGTTCCTGACATTTTCATGGAAGGTGACTCACCTTCCAAGAAGCAGTAAAATGCTTCTCCTCCACCTCCACTTCCTTCTCTTCTCCATTCTCCTCCTCCACCTCCCACTTCAAATGCACATCATCATCATCATCCAGGAGCCTTCTACTGTACATACACACCTCAAAGTAAGTGAACTTTTCTACCATTTTTGTTGAATTTAGGAAATTTTCGGTGAGCTGTAACCAATTACCCAAAAACCCATTGAAACAATGGTTTCGGTTAACGAACTTTTCGGTTAACGAACAACCTGCTGGAACGGATTGAGTTCGTTAACCGAGGGACCACTGTAGATGAAAATTATCTTATAATTAGACGTCTTATTCGAATATGATAATAGATTAGTGGTATATATAATATATATATATATATATATATATATATATATATATATATATATATATATATATATATATATATATATATATATATATATATATATATATATATATATATATATATATACAGTGGGGTATGCTATAACGAACGGATCCTACTACGAATATTCCTATAACAAACGGTTTTACCTATAAAATTGAGAATGCTATAACGAATGAAAATCCTACAACGAACATTATTTAAATTTTTTTTCCCTAATTTATTGATTTTTATTACAAGTATTAATGATATTCTTTATTTCAGGGGTTTAGATGCATATGTATGCACTTTTTTACAATTTTTACAATTTTATATTATATTTTTCAGTGTTAAGTGGTTGTATTTGGGGGCCTGGAATGAACGAATCCTATAACGAACGAATGCTATAACGAACAAGGTTCTAGAACCAATTAGATTCGTTATAGCATACCCCACTGTATATATATATATATCATGTAGATCCACAATGGGAATGTAGACAAGGTTGATTTTAATATATGAAGAGCATGTGTTTATAAAAAAGTGTTTATTTGACCTTAGCTTTACCAAATTAAGAGTAAATAAATCTGTTCTCTCTCTCTCCAAATAGGAAGAGCGGGAATATTGGGCGACACATAATTAAGTTGTTACGTTACTCATACTGGTCTTGTTTCAGTGTGGTCGTGACATTTTAAACAAATCTATCCAGAGTATCATTAACATAAAATAACATAACTAATTGTATATGCGTTGACCAATATTCTCAATCTTCGTTCATTTATATCCTTATTACTACAGTGACCCCTCCGTTAACGAACTCAATCCGTTCCAGAAGGTCGTTCGTTAACCGAAACTATTGTTTCAATGGGTTTTTGGGTAATTGGTTCCAGCTCACCGAAAATTTCCTAAATTTAACAAAAATGGTAGAAAAGTTCACTTACTTTGAGGTGTGTATGTAGAAGGCTCCTGGATGATGATGATGATGATGATGGGATTTAGAATGGGGGTGGAGGAGAAGGAAGAAGAGAAGGCATTGGGGTGGAAGAGAAGTCACCCCATGGTGCCATTTCACCCATAAAATTTTAGCTCTCTGGTGTAATTCAAGATTATTTTCTTTAAATCAACACTGCACTGCATTATATATTGTCAATATGTAAAATATATTTCAAAATGACCAATAATTTGCTTGGAAACACAGAAAAAAAGCATTTAGTTTAAGAGAGTCTCAAGCAAGATGTTACCTCCAGTGAAAACAGAGAGACTAACTCCTGTTTGCTGTGTTAAGAGGCTGGATGCCGCGCATTAAACTAGTTTCTTTACCTTCAATTATGTTCAATAATTGTTAAAATGACTAAAAAATTGAATATTAAACTTTTAAAATTATTGAATAGTATAAACTTCTTGATATTTACTAAAATAGTAAGGAATTTAAGCCCTAGAACCGATTTATGTATTGGCGGACTGATACTAAAGCTGGTTGCCCGGTCAGTACAAGCGAAAACATGTTGAGGTCGGTTAGTAAGAACTTCGTTAACCGAATTTTTTTTCGTTAACCGAATTGAAGATCCTTATGGAAGGCAGTTCGTTAATCGAAATTACGTTAACCGAGGTGTTCGTTAAACGAGGGGTCACTGTACTGTATTTTATTCTTGACGTTGACATGTTAGAAGAAGAAATTCCTGACGATGTCACGCTGAACAAGTTCATTATACCGGAAGTACCAGAGAGGACCCCCGAATTATATACTGTACAGTATACTAACTGATTTGTTTACAAAAAGCTGGAGCTGGAAAATTAATGTTTTTATGTATATCTATATTTTGTTGACTTAAGACCACCTTAAATGCCCAGTTTATAAATTGAAATTGCCAAATCTATTAGCCTATCTGTAAATTGCAATAAAGTTATTCTAAACCACATAGTGTGAAATATGTACTTGTAGTGCAATGTTTGTGTGACGGAATAACATACTTATGTAATGAGATGTAACCATTTTAAAGCCTGCATTTCATTTCCCTATTTCACTGCACTTTCCTACAAGATTTACATAATCATATTTTGTAATCATAGATAAAACTAAAATGCATGGTATATACTGTATACTAATAGGTATGAATTATCTCTTGAATTGGGTGTATGTAATCTTGGGTACGACTTATCTCTTGAGTTCGGTAAGAGTTGTCTTGGGTAAGAGTTATCTTGGGAACAAGATGACCCTAACCCAGGTTAGATTAGGTTTTCTTGCTGTTTTATATGATTCTGACATTTATTATCATCTAAAACAGCAAGAAAACCGAACCTTACCTAACCTAACTAAAAAAAAAAGTGATTTGACCCAAAGATAAATGTCAGAATAATCTGAAATGGCAAGAAGGTATTATTGCATTAACACACCACACATTCCTACCACTAATCTATTATCATATTCGAATAAGACGTCTAATTATAAGATAATTTTCATCTATTACATTACCGGCGAAAATGTATAATAACGGAGATAGCATATCCAAAATTTTCTCTATTTTCTTCCATTAATCTTCTGCCATTATCGCCTACCTCACCTCCCACACTGCGTGTCTCCTTCATGAATCATCACGCGCATGCGTTCCCGTACACGTCACGCGGCCAATCAAAAGCGCTTTTTTTTGCAACCAATTAAAATGATTTTGGGTTTAATTCACGGTATTTTTGGCCCAATCAAATTCGAGTTTTATTTTGGGTCTCTCATATTTCGAAATTCAAATTAATTTCCGACCATGGAAGTCTGCGATGGATGTCACTTCAATTATATGGAGCTGATTGCGAGTTTTTTTTTGAAAAAACGAAGAAACTATAGCCTTTTTTCGATCGCATGGTGTTCTTCCAACCTCGGTAAAGTGACCTAAGTGCAAGAGTGAATGTAAATACCGCAAAGAACAACATATGTGGCATTGTCATAACTCGACGTCAGCAACCAGGCCAATAAGGTAAGAAATAGGCGATTCCACCATATGGTGAGTCGGTTAGGTTTGGTTTTTGTTTTTCCTGTGTTTTTTGGTGTATTTTTTATTCGCTTAGCCATTATTTTTTTCGGAAAACGTCCAACGAAAAAAAAAATGATAAAAAAAAAGGCTAATTTCCGCCAGAAATGAAGGTCACATTCGGTCTAAACACACACAAATACACTAGAAAAACATATTTTTTTATTTTCTAACAGTGTGGTGTGCAAATGCAAATTTACCGACAAGAAAACTAGCGAAAAAATATAATTTTCATGTGAGAAAGGGTGATGGGTGGATAACGAAAAATTACCGAATAGTTGGCAGCATTAATCTACACGTTAACCAAGTACTGTACAGTATTTGATAATTTTGTTTCATATTTTAGCTTTGGGGGTGATCCTCAGACCTCGGCCTGAACACTGACAGTCACGTAAAACAAGGATCGAGCGCCTCCAGCGACACAAGGAGCTCTTCCAGTAAACACAAGGAGCTCTTCCAGTAAACACAAGGAGCTCTTCCAGTAAACACAAGGAGTTCTTTTCACAGCCACAAGGCGTTCTTCCAACATTGACACAAGAACCACTTATCACAACACAGAGAGCTCTTCCAGCACTGACATAAGGATCTTTCCCTATACACAGGTCAACAAGTGGTGAACAAATAAAACGTTTTGAACGTTATTTATTTTCTTCTTTTATCCTCTTCACCATTTATCGGCTCGTTAGGAGCTTGGGCAAGTACTGGGTATGCACGGTGCACCGGCTCCTGAATGTACCTGAACCTGCTCCAGTGTTGGTCAAATCTGGTCTCGAAAGGGGTCACACTCGGTGCCGTCACAACACATTCTGGCAGATTGTTCCAAGAGTTCATAAATCTCACCCCGAAAAAGTTTGCCCTCGCAGTTTTCTGGACCTGCGGCTTCTTCATCTTGAACTGTGACCCGCTGTGTATATTATAAATTATTCAGTAAATTCAATATACAGGTTTATCACTATTATTAAAACTGCCCTGTTTATGCATACGCTAAACAAATATGGACTTATATGAAGATAAAACTATAAATTATGTAACTGAGTCGAGTCTGAAGTTCTGAACCAAGTCGAGTAGCGAAACCATTAACCACACTGATTCCGAATAACGAACCTCACGACACCGTGCACAGATAACAAAGACTAATTTCGAAAAAAGTACTCCAAGCTTTGTCAATAAATTTGATAAACTAAAAGTCTGATCAAGTCAATTTTGAAAGTTTTATATAGACCAGTGAGCCTCACCAGCATATTGTGTAAAGTACTAGAGAGCATTATAAGAGATACAATGACGGAACATCTGCTACGAAACAACTTTGTAAAGGACTGCCAACACGTTTTTTTTCTTTTTTAATCCTCTTCGCCACTGATCGGCTCGTGAGCCGCTTGGGCGATCAGTCACGCCTCTGTTACTCACTGTTGGTAAATACTGTACTGGGCATGCACTGGCTCCTGGATGCATCTGAAGCTGCTCCAGTGCTGGTCAAGTTTGGTCTTGAAACAGCTTACTCTCGGTACCGTTGTAGTGGATACCTCCCCTACAAACGCTGTTTGTCGCTGAGTAGCCGACCCCGCGAATTCCCCAGTGTATGCCTCGTGGTCTAGGTCAACCAGCGCCGCCTTACATGACGGAGGTCAAATATTAAGCCACGCCTACCTCCGCTATATAAGACCTGACCTCGTGGTGACCTCTCTCTTTTCTACGTACACCAACCAGCAAGCAGCACCACCTCCTCCGCCGCTGCCTGGCGGCCCTCGCTCCCGCCGGCGAGCATGGCGACCCACAAGCTGGTCCTCCTCTGAGCACCCTCACCAACCAGCTCTCTCTACTCAACGCTTGCAACCATGCTGCCTTCCCAGCACCAAGCTGCATTGTACATCCAATACAATATGTATACAGAGAGCACATTGTGAGTTTCCTTTCTCCATCCATCCTGAATGCGAACCCCCAACATAACGTACCCCACAAATGGTGACCCCCGGAGATTCGCACTCACACAGGATGGAGGAGAAACAGATCACTCTCCCAGTCTTCAAGCAACATGGAAGACTGGCTTACCCACACAGAGGCAGCTCTCATCAGCTCTACAGCTACTGTCTCTACACCGCAGGTTAGACACCCTAGAGCAGCTCTGCTACTCTAAGCAGACAGCCGCTCCTCTTCCTGCCCCAAGCACCACGTCCTACCGACCCCAACACACCCGTCCTGCCTCAGACGCCGCTCCCGGCCCAGCAGTACCCCCTGCCGCTCCTCCTGATGCAGCCCCTGCTCCCGACGCGGCCCATGCGCCTGAGTGCGGACCCACACACCCCTCTTTTCTCCCTCAGGTACTCCCTGCTACTGTCCTGCACCCTGCTGTTGTCATGCACCCTGCTGCTGTCATGCACCCTGCTGCTGTCACGGACTCTCCTCCGCTCCTGCTGACGCAGCCCCTGCTCCTGACCCAGGCCCACACACCCCAGCAGGCGCATCTGACGACTCTGTACCTGCCGTGAGGGAAGCACAACATTCATCGCCTCCACACACCCTTTTTCTCCCTCTCTACTCCCACAGATATTGTGTATCTAGACAGTTGTCTCCTCTAGCGGCCTGCTCATCCACGCCCTCGCCGTTATGGCTCACATGTGGCATGCACCGCCCGTTCTGCCTCACATGTGCCATATGGTGTTTCATATGTACTGAAGAACGGCCGTACTGTCTATACAGAACACTGATCTGTCTATTTGTAATTCAAGTTCTCGTCATAGTTGCTTGTCTGCCTTGGCAGCCAGTACTGCCGTGCAGAGTTCGAGTCGAGGTATTGTCTGCTGTTTTAGAGGGGCTAGCTTGGCCTTGCCACACACGAAGGAGATATGGTGGGTTCCATCTTCACACGTGGTCCTCAGATACGATACAGCTCCATACGCTTGTTGGGAGGCATTGTAGAAGTGGTGTAGATGCACGGCAGCCACTGGATTTGCATCCTCGGGTGGGTAGCACCGTGGAACGTGTACCTGTGATAGGTAAGGAAGTTCATCTAGCCATCTTCGCCAAGCCACCCTGTTCTGTTCAGCCATTCGTTCATCCCACCCAACACCTCGTCTACACTCATCTTGGAATATAATTTTGGCTCTTGTGACGCTCGGAGCGATGAGTCCCAGTGGGTCATATATGGAGCTGACCATACTCAAAAGGCCTCATTTCGTCTCCGGTTTCTTAGGGATCTGGACCCGGACCGCTAGTTCGCCCTTTTCCAGGTCCCACAAGATTCCCAGCACTCGTTCAGTGGGGAGCCTGTCGTCTTTCAAAATTACTTCCTTTACTTCCACGGCTTTTTCTGTCTGTGAAATTGCCTTGAGGACTTCCTTGTGATTACAGACCCACTTCGTAAGTCTGAATCCGCCCTTCTTCATCAGCTGTCTCAGTCAATGGGTAATTATCGTTGCCTTCCCCGGCGAATCTACTGACAGAAGCAGATCGTCAACGTAGAAGTTACGATATGCTTTATTGATGTTGTCATGGAGACTTTCCCTGTAATCTTGGAATGTTCGTTGTGGTGCATACCCGGCACATGAAGGGCTGTACACACCTCCAAAGACCAAAGAGATGTAGTGTCATTCGGTAAGTGGTAGGGGGCCCCTGGCATCTGGTCGTCCGTCCACCATAAGAATCATGAGACGTCTCGATGTTCGGGTACTACTCGCACTTAGCGGAACATTGCCTCGATATCAGCCATGAGTGCCATTCCTTGTCTGAATCTGATGAGGACTCCCATCAAATTGTTGTTAAGGTCTGGCCCTCGCATCAACTGGCTGTTCAATGACATCGACTCATATTCGGCTGCACAATCAAAAACTATTCTCACCTTTTCTGGTTTGTTGAGATTCAACACGGGGTGGTGTGGGAGATACCAGGTCTTCCCGGGTGCAACACAGAGTTCTCGCCGTGGAATTCGCTCAGCATGTCCCTCGTCGACTGGACGTCTCATCTCTTTTAGATACCTCTGAGAGAGCCTTGGGTTCTTTATGAGGCATTTTCTCAGTCCCGCCAATCGCTGTTCGGCAAGCTTCTTATTGTCTGGAAGTTCCGGTTCTTCACGGTGAAACGGGATGGGAAGTTTGTAGTGTCCGTCCACTTGAGTAATTGACGTTGACCACTGCATCAGGACTCTCTTGTCTTCGACAGGGACGGGATCATCGTTACTGTAGGCGGAGTCGCATTCCCAGAAGCGCCTGATTTATTTTTCCAGATTTGTCTCCGAATTTAATGTTACCAATCGCAAAGTGGTTGATCACAGCATAATCACGGCTCACCACACCAAGCTGTCCATTTATAGTCCAGCTCAGAAGTACTGGGTGCGTGTTGCAAACGGCTCTCCGTCCTTCCCGGTCCTTACTTCTGAAGGCACTAATACTTGTGGTACATCCAGAGCTATCAGGAGATCCACTCTTTTCGGTGCTTGGCATAGTGCAGTACCTCGGAGGTGTTCTCACATGGTGACGTCTTGGTGTCTTCGACCAAAAACTCTCAGAGAAGACTGTAGATTCTCAACAACAATGACCTTGGGGATAGAGATGGATCGGGTCTTTCTTACTACTACGCTAACACCTTTACACTGATCTCTTCGGTGTTTACACTACTTCTTTCATGATCGTGCCAGTGGAGAGGGAAAAAACTGGCCTTCCCTCTGCTGCAACCGGCTAGCTAGACTACGCGTGCAGTATGATCGGTTGCTGCCTGAATCCAAGAGAGCTCCGGTGACCACTGCTCCTTCGCCTCTTGGTTCTTCTCCTCCATCCTGACTTTCACTATTGGAAGTGCGACTCTGCTGGACTCTTGCAATCACAACTCGCAATCGTTGGGTTCTTCACGCTGATCATCAATTCCATTGTTGGTTATGGTTTCCTTGACCCATCTATGCGGATTTCCTCTATTCGTGGTCACCAGCACGCTTTGTGTGCTCCCAATCCTTTCCCCCATGGTGCCTGTACCGGCTTCGGTCTTCTATGACTTAGCTTCACTAGTTGCCGATTCCGGTGGTGGCATAATGGCCTTAAGTTGACTCATTGTAGGTCGCTTGTGATCAGATGATATGTCTATTTGGTAAGTGCCCCCAGTGATCGCTCTCTTCACCCTTTGGAAACTGGTCTGGTGTTCTCCTCTTTCAACTTCGCCCAGTTGAGCCTTGCCACTGCTCGTCAGAACTTCCGGGAAGTGCAGAAGCCTCGAGTGTACGAGTGTACTCCAGAGCAGCCATTTATATCACATACCATCTTCTGGCTGCACTCCGTTATCCGGTGATTACGACCCAGGCACGCGAAGCAGCGACGTTCTTCCCTTACGAGGGAAGTTCGCTTCCCTGTGGACATGCTGAGGAATGTCCGGCACATCTGAAGAAGGTGATCTTTGCAGCATAACGAGCAGCATTCTTCGTCCATTTCTCTCGTTGTCTTTATTCCTGATGTCACCAGACCCACAAGTTTTTTCCTCGATGAGGATTGGCGTGAGGGTGAGTCTGCATATATTCTGCTTGGTTCCTCCGGTCCTTGTCCCTTTGGGGCCTCCTCCGCCTTGTCGACCATATCCAAAGTGAATTCCAACATCCACTCGATCCCAGGAGGCTTCACTTGTTTCCTTTTGTATTTATGCACCTTTGTCGTCCCTTATCTTTCCCTTGAAACTCTCAGCTAACATATGTATTGATTC